AGCACTTGCCTGTCATGTGTAAAGCACAGAGTTCAATTCTCAGTACCACATATAAATAAATAAAAAAAGATCCATTGACATTTAAAAAAATTTTTAAAAAAGGTATTGAGTGGCTAAACAGATTCGAAAAACAAGGCCCATAGGAGACTCACTCCACCTCTAAAGACACACAGAGACATGGAAAATGTAAAGATGAAAAAGAGGGAGCCCATGCAAACAGAAACCAAAGGAGAGTGGGAGTAGCTAGTCTTGTATCAGAGGAAAAAAAAAAGACTTTAAGTTTAAAACTGCAAAAAGAGAACAAAAATATTAGTATACAGTAATAAAGATGTCAATTCATCAAGAGAAGATAATAATTGTAAACATATATTGTGACTCTAAACAGGGCACATAAATGAAAATGGAATACAACATAGCAAAATCTATGGGATGCAGCAAAAGCCATTCTGAAAGGGAAGTTTAATCTCGTAATGTCTATGTCAAAAAGAAGATTTTTGAGATGATGTATATGTTAATTATCCTACTTTGATCATTGCATAATATATACATGCATTGAAGTACCACATTGTACCACAAAAATATATACAATTATTGTGTCAATCTTTTAAAAAAGACAAAAAAAGAGAGAAAAAAATATCACGTAAGCAACCAATTAAAAACCTCTAAGAATTAGGATAAAAGTACACAGTTCAAAGTTAAGAAGAAAGAAAATAGATCAGAGCAAAAATAAACAAACTAGAGACTTGAAAAACAATAGAAAAGATCAATGAGACTAAACATTGGTCTTTGAAAAGAAACAAAATTGATAAACCTTTGGTTAGAGAGGGAGAGAGAGAGAGAGAGAGAGAGAGAGAGAGAGGACTCAAAATCATAAATGAAAGATAAGAGATTATTATGACTGATATCACAGAAATACAAAGTATCATAAGAGATAACCATGAATAATTACATACAAACAAATTGGATACCCTAAAATAAGTGGATGAATTCCTAGAAATATAAAATCTCTCAAGACTTGAATCAGGAAGAAATAGGAATTGAACAGACCAATAACAAATAAGGAGATTGAATCAGAAATAAAAAGTCTCTTATGAAAGAAAAACTCAAGATATGATGGCCTTAGTGCTGAACACTACCAAACTTTTCAAGAAATAGCATCAATCTTTCCCAAACTCTTCCAAAAAATACATCCAAACTCATTTTTTAGGTAAACATTACCCTGATACCAAAACCAGACAAGGTCACTACAAGAAAAGAGAACAGCAGACCAATATCCATGATGAACAGAAGAGAAATCCTCAACAAAATACTAGCAAACCTAATTAAAAAGATCATCCACCATGATCAAGTGGGATTCATTCCAAGAAAGCAAGGATGGCTCAACACATTAAATTAATGAATATGATATACCATATTAACATAAAGAGGGTAAAAACCACATGGTCACTGCAGTAGATGCAGAAAAAAATTTGCATTCAAAATTCAAAATTCAACATTCATTCATGTTGAAAGACCTTCAAAAAATAGGAATAGAAGGAATGCACCTCAACACAATAAAGGTCATATGTGTTACTCAAAGGTGAAAGTGGAAAGCATTTACTGTTAAGATCAGGAACAAACAAGGATGACCACTCTCACCACTTCTATTCAACATAGAACTGAAGTCCTGGTCAGAGCAATTGGACAATCAAAAAAAGAGTCATCCTTATTGGGAAAGAAGAAATGAAATTGTCTCAGCTGATGACATGATTTTATATATAAAAAACCTTGAACACATCACAAAAACCTGTTATAATGGATAAATAAATTCAGTGAAGTTGCAGGTTACACATCCAGTATGTAACGATCAGTGGTATTTCTAAATACAAACAATAAACTATCTGAAAAATAAAGTAATCCAATTTACAATAGTATGAAAAAATAAAATAGCTAAGATTAATTTAACCAAGGAAGTGAAAGATCTGTACCCTGGAAACTATAAATATTGATGAAAGAAATTGAAGAAGACATAATTATATGGAAAGATACCCAATGATCATGTATTGGAAGAATTAATATTGTTAATATGTCCAGGATATAAGTGATCTATAGGGGCAATACAATTTCTATCAAAAATTCCAGTATAATTTTTCACAAAAATAAAAGAAGGGGCTGGGGTTGTAGCTCAGCGGTAGAACACTCACCTAGCACATGTGAGACTCTAGGTTCAATCCTTAGCACCACATAAAAATAAAATAAAGATATTATGTCCAACTACAACTAAATAAACAAAATATTAAAAAATAGAATAAGAGAATCTTAAAATTCATATGGAACCATAACATACTCTGGATAGAAAAGAAAATCTTGAACAAAAAGAACAAAGCTTGAAATATCACACTCCCTGACTTTAACATATATTGAACTATTGCAATTGAAACAGTCTGACATTAGATTAAAAACAAACACATCAACCAGTGGAACAGGATAGAAAGTCTAGAAATAAACCCAAATATTACTGTCAATTGACTTTTGACAAAAGAGCCAGGAACACACAATGGGGAAAAACAGACACCTCAATAAATTGTGAAAAATGGATATTCACATACCAAAGAATGAAACCGAACCCTTCTCTTACACCACATACAAAAATCAACTAAAAATGGATAAAAGACTTAAACATAAGATCTGAAACCATAAAGCTGTTAGAAGAAAACAGGGGAAAAACTCCATGATGTTGGTCGGGGCAGTTTCTTGCACAGTACTGGAAAGGTACCAGCAACAACAACAAAAAAAGACAAGACTGTATCAAACTGAAAAGCTGCTGCACAGCAAAGGAAACAACAGAGTGAAGAGACTCCCTGATAAACTATACAGCTGGTAAGGGGGCTAATATCCAAAATAGATAAGGAACTCTAACAAAAAAATAAATTTAAAAATCCACAAAGGTTCTGAACAGACATTTCCTTTTTTTTTTTTAAGAGAGAGTGAGAGAGAGAGAAGGAGAAAGAGATAGAGTTTTTAATATTTATTTATAGTTTTTGGCGGACACAACATCTTTCTTTGTATGTGGTGCTGAGGATCGAACCCGGGCCGCACGCATGCCAGGCCAGCGCGCTACCGCTTGAGCCACATCCCCAGCCCTGAACAGACATTTCTTGAAATAAGAACTATGAATGGCCATCTGTATATGAAAAAATGCTCAACATTCTAATCATCAAAGAGATGCAAATTAAAAGCACAATCAGATATACCTCCTACCTGATAGAATGGCTTTTATCAATAAGATAAATTATAACAAATGTTGGCACAGATGCAGAGAAAACAATGCTTGTATGCTATTGGTTGGAATGTAAGTTAGTACAACCAAGTTATGATCCAGCAATCTCTCTCTGGCCATGT